CATGGTTCCTAGAAGCATCCAGAAGTTGTTGTTCACTTTTTAAAGCAAGTATTTAAAATATTAAAAATACTTTTAAATATTTGCATATTTAAAAGTATCTTAAATATGCAAATATTAAAAATATTAAATATTTTTAATATTTGCGTATTCTTTAACTCCAAAAGATACCCATTTTCCAAAAGTCAAAATGGATGCTTGTCCACTTCCTTCTTTTCAATTTTGTTTGCATGAGGTTTGCAATGAGGTGGTTGTGTACAGTCCCTGCAGAATTCCCCAGGATGCAGAATTGGTCTCCTGACCCACTAAATATGTTCATCACCAACCACGTAAACCTTTATGCTTGATTTTAATTGGTGGTTACCGATAGAATAGAGAACACCACTGTGGTTTATTTACGTGTTGCCTCTACATTCCACGGTTGATTCAGCAGGTCTACTCTAGACAGGAATCCCAGTTGGTTTTAGGCCAATATCTTTGCCATCAAAGCCGATTTCATGTTGCTATGGAAAAGCTTGGCTTGCTGTCATCGTCTTGAGTTAGCGACCCACCAGCTTTCCCTTTCCCCTCTTGCCATCTCCTTAAACTAGCTTTCCTCCATTTTCTTGGTGGCGGTGTGCATCAAAGCTTGGTTCAGTACTGAGAAGATTCTGAGCATACTCAGCTGTTGTGCTGCGGAAGCCCAGCCGTATCCGTGGTGCCTGTGCCTCCATGTCATGGATTCTGAACTGGTCATTTCAGGGGCTGGAGATGCCAATGTAGGACGCCGTCTCTGGTCTTTCATTTCTGTGGCTGAGACGCATGCCCAGATGGTGTTGGAAACAGAGGTGGCATTGATCTCAGGCTGTTCCAAACTGACTTGCTTCTCGTTTTCTTTTCTTCGCCTTTTTAAAGGTCAGCTTTTATATTTGCTAGGTTGACTGTGTTTTAGCTGGTTGGGAGCATAATAATCCAGAATAACATAAAAGGTTGTGAGCCCAAGCAGTTACCACAAAATTGTGGGACTTTGTCGGCCGCATCAAAGTTATTTAGTTGATACTGTTGAGATTTTTTTCCCGATGGCTCCTCCTCCGCCTTGGATTCCCATTGAGATCTATCGCTCCCTTCACACACTGTAGCGCTCTCTCATGTGTGATTGTGTGTGAACTGTGCCCTGCTCATTCAACAGTGTATGGTGAAATGTCCCATCCTGCGGCTGTCTATATCCCACATTGTAATTGCCCTGAACGAGTTTTCATGTGGAAAGAAAAGCGCTGGCTGTCGTGCTAATTGGAGGAGAAGTGGAGAGGCGAAGGGTTTGGCGGGCCTGAGGAGGTTGCCTCTTGAGGGATAGAGGTGACGGAAGGAGGGGCACAGAGGTGTTTTGGGGAAGGCGAGTGAAAGGCGCCTGGTTTCACGTTGACAGGTTGAACCAGAAATTGATCAAAGGCTTGCCTTTGAAAGAGGCTTTGGTGGTGGGGAAAGTAACCCTCCCAATTTTTCACATTCCTAGCTTGAGTTTCACTCCTTTGTAGAAGACTTTTACTTGACCCGTGATCATTACAATTAATTAAGAGAAGTTGAAAAGCTGCTTCTTTTTTTCCTTGGGTAGAGAGGAAAAAGGGGGTTTTTTTTGGTCTTGTGTTAACTTGGTCTTGTGTTAACTAAAAGTGTTAACTTGGACTAGATGCAGAGGAATACGAGAACCATTTTTCAAAGTAGTTGTTTTCCATTTTTCAGTAAGGATGTAGGAAAAGCTGTACAGCTTCTCACCTTCGGCATCCTTTCCCCCAAAGTGGCCGCTCGCTTGTCTTTCAGAAGCCCACAAGTCTGGCATGAGTGGCGCCCTCCACTTATTGTTCTCAGCAAGCGGTATTTAAAAGACACACTGCCTCTGTTACAGGACCTCGTGGCCATAGATGGGGTTGGTCCTCCATGTTGCACAGTAGAACAGATCATTGGTCCTTGGGAATGGGTGGTTGTCCTGCTGGCTTTCAGAAAGAGAAGTTATTCTCAGCCCTGCTTGGAGCTGCCAAAAATTGAACCTGGCACCTTCCACATGCCAAGGATATGCACCCCAACAAAAACTGGCAAGTGGATTATTTATAATCAGATTATACCAGCTGCATGGAATGTCATACTGGATAGAAGAAACGACGGGACCCGATCAGATGAAGACGCAACCTATGAAGTCACAATAGTTGTCTGCAATCAGATGCTGAAACCACTGAGCTCCCCACCAAGTCCTGGTCAATTCACTTTGATATGACTGTACTTAAGATGTCGCTTAAAAGGGAACTCAGATGTTGGCAGTTTGGTTATGGCTGCTGGGGCTACCCTGGTTCTTGACACTCCGTAGCACCAAGGAGGAAAGAGTGAATTAGTTTGACAAATGGGTTTATGTCTTGGATCACCCAAGGAGGTGTAATCTTGAAGGTGTTCTGGTTGTAAGTGGATCTTATGGAGAGGGAGGAGGGACTGAATGGAGCCCGGTTAGTGGGACCGCAGGTTGTTTTTCTCCTGGTGTAAACAGCAACGCTGGCTTAGGAAGGTTGCTGACATAAGCCATGTCATCTGAGGTCGGAAACGTGCTGCGGGCTCTCCTCTGCAGAGAGGATAAATGTGCCTCATTGTGATTGAAGGAACTACATTGCTCGTTATGTAAAGAATAATCTCTATAAGGGAAGCCCCAGCAAGAGGTAGCTCTTCCGTCCTCCCTCTGCCTTCTCTTTTTGCTTCTGAATTCGACTGACACAGAACCACCTCAGGGGTTTGAGCATTAGGAAGGGGGCTGCTCTTAAGCATTTATTCCCTTCTCATGTCCAGTGGTTTATTTGGCTCCCTGCAAGATGAACGTAAACAGTGGCATCTCAGACAGAAAGCATTGTAAACACCTGATGGCAAAGTCAAACTATGTGTAATAGGAAGCAGTTGTGTGCTTCAGTCTTTTGGTTCTTCCTCTGACTGCAGGGAGGAAATGGCCTTTTCAACAGTGAGCTGGTGGCTTTCCTTAACTCTGTGTTTCTTTGTGCTAGATCCGTATGGATATTAATGTTAGCTTGACTTGGTTAGTGTTCATAATCTATTGTAATAGTTGCCTTGAGGACTGTTTGATCAAAACCCTTACAATAAATAAAAAATACTGCAGAGTCTACTTTTTGCAGAGTTGTTGACTTCACCCTGGGGGTGGGGAAGAAGATAAGGTGTTTTCTAAGGAGTGTGCCATTCATTATTTTTGGACTACAACTGCCAGAATTCTCCGAGAATTTCCCAGGCAGAATTCTGGGCATTTCAATCCATATACAAGAGACACACTTTTTGCTTCCTGGAAGACCCAGTTCTTTGTGGGAGGTGTCATCTTGCTGCCCAGTAGGCTCTGTAGAGGGGCACTCCAAAAGAACACCATCTCCCAGAATGCTACTTAAGGAATTCTTGAAGAATTGTGGCACATGGAGAGAAAACCATAACAACAACCGAACAACCCCACCCCATGACAAGCAAACAAACCCCCAAAATGGCACACCACTAGTGTTTGGCCCTATAAGGTTACTTGTAGGGTGCCACATGGCCATTGGTCGCAAGTAGACATGGGGGTACTCATATTTGTATGCAAATACCCTCGCCCAGGTGGACATAACGAAGGTCCGGCCCGCTGGGGCTGCCTGTCCACTCACCTTCCACTGTTGCTGTGGGCTCCGTGCTCCCTTCCTATCACTCCAGAGCTCGCGGTCTGGAAGCCACTCTTTGACCTGGCAGTGAGGCTCGTCCTCATGCCAGGAGCGGCTTGCAGACCGTGAGCTCCAGAGCGATAGGAAGGGAGTGCGGGACTCGTGGCAAAAGCAGAAGATGAGCGGACAGTCCGGCCTCAGGGGGCTGGACCCTCGTTATGTCCACCTGTGCAGGGGTATTCCCCCATCTCTAGTCATAAGCAACGCTTATAGGGTTGAATCCTTCGCCTCTTCAACTAGGAGGAAGTTGGTTAGCTTTTTTTTTTTGAAGCAACCCCTGCCAATCAGAGCTCAACTAGGAGGAAGTTGGTTAGCTTTTTTTGGAAGCAACCCCTGCCAATCAGAGCGGGTCAGAGAGGACTAGTGAGACTGACAGCCTGACGTGATCTGTGGAAGTCTCCATATTCTTAGGCAGTCCTGGGGACTTTCCTTTGTCGTTTTAGAACAGCATGGTGGACTAGACTGGTCTCTGGTCAGTCTTCCTCTTTATAGGATGGCTCTTTTTCTGTGTTCAGGGAGACCAGGAACTGGCAAGTTGCTAAGAGCACCGAGATTCAGCTCTGGCTATACAAGATGCTAGGTCTTCTGCTGGAATAGTCTCATATACTTGTGTAAGGGGTGGCTTATTCCTATTTTTGTGGTCATATTGGCAACACAAATCTTTGCGACTATACAAAGCAGTCATTATGGGTGTTCTGTCTCACAGAAAAATAGAACCCTGCTTAGTAATGATGTGCTCTTGCTTCTGGGAGGCATTTGGACCTACTGAAGGTACATTTAGTTCCTGGTCATCTTCAGCATTTCATTGGGACTGAGCTTTGGTCTGTAGACAGAGGGCCTGTAGAAATGTCCTTGTGTGTCTGTTTGCTTATCTGTTAAAATCCTTACTGGCAAATGCCCTTGGGGAAGTTTCTGAGTATCAAAACACAAAGCAGTCTGTAAAATCACAAACCAAACAAGTAAATCCAGGGATCTGTGTCAGAATGTTAAAATATGAGGATGTCAAAGATTCATCCATGTAACTTAAATAGTAAAAGCAAGAAGGAGAACAAACTGTAAGAGGTTACATCCATTTACTAGTCTCTGCTGGAATAGAGGTAGCTATTGAATCAGTGGAGTGTGTAAAAGTAATTGATATACAGTATAAGTAATGTATAGAACTGATGGATTCCATGGGTCAATTATAGTTAGGGCCAACAACTAACTGCCTGCGATTGTCTCAATGTTCTTCTTTTCTTCTTCTTCTTTTCTCAATTTTTAGCTCATCTTTTCTTCTTCTTCTTCTTCTTTTCTCAGTTTTTAGCTCGGAAAGGGTGCTGAGCCATGGCTGACCTGGACCACAACCTCAGCCTTGCAGATGCGCTGACGGAGCCACCGCCCCAGATTGAGGAGGAAGTGAAACGGGATTTCATGGCGACTCTGGAAGCCGAGAAGTTTGATGACGTCATCGGAGAAACAGTTGGCAAGACCGACTATGTCCCTCTTCTTGATGATGAGGATGCCCCAAAGGCTGGGAACCAGGAAGCAAAAACCAAGCCCCATGCCGACAGCGTTCAGGCGGACCGTAAGTCTCTGAGCATAACTCAAGAGTGGTAAGGTGGCAGGCAGAGCGTGTTGTGTTCAATGAGCAGAGAACCACCACCACCCGGGTTAGAAAGACCTTTTATCCTTCCCATGGCCTTGAAAATGCTAAGAAAAAGCTGCGTAGTGTCCACGTATCAAAAGTGGTGTCTCCCCTCTGTGTGCTTCCTGGGCCCCAGTTGGTCTCTTCCAAGATCTGTTCCTTCTCTCCACCGTCTGCTGCTGAAAGGCTTTCAGCCTCTTCCTCTCACTGCGTGTTGTCTCGGCTGTCACTCTCACTCCGGCTCGCCTGGCTCTCCTCTCCTAAGTTAACTCAGGATGCTTTTTGCCAAGTCCTTCTTTTCCTCTGGTGGCTCAGAGGATGCGCCTGGCCGGCGCGCAGGCTGCCCCCTCTCCCTTTTATGGCTTTCAGTTCGCTCTCCATTCCTATCAAGTCCAGGGGACCCCCTGGTCAGGTCGTGGGAGGGGCCTGTCATTGAAGGTTGGTGAAGAGCGGAGGGGTGGGGTTTACAGCTTTTGGGGATGGCACTGACCTTTCCCCCCTCTCTGTCACCTTGTCCCTTTCTTGATCCCAACCACGTTGTTGCTTACATGCAGGCCACGGGTGTCCCATTCTGACTTTATATCAAAATTTACCCTAAAGCTTGCTTTCTCTTATTTATTTTCTCTTTTGTTCTATGTAAGTTCCTCAAACAACCCCCCCCCCAAACTTCTGCATTTTTTACTAATCCCTCATTGTTTTTCCCTGATCCTGATTTAATTAACTCTGTGAATAAATAATAATTCCTAACCCCTGTTCTTTCTGCTTCCAGTGTCTGCAGCAGCTCCCCTGTTCTGTTGTCAGGCAGTGCTGCTCAAGGCTGAGTTCTGGAAAATCCTTATTTATGGCAATTTTAATTGTATCTTAATTGTATTTTAATTATTTTATCTTTTACTGTATTGAATTTTAATTATTGTAAGCCGCCCAGAGACCTCTGGGTAGTGTGGGCGGCATATAAATTGAATGAATGAATGAATGAATGAATGAATGAATGAATGAATGAATGAATGAATAATAAATTTAACTTTTTTGGAAAAAAAAACTTACAAATTTGTCAGGATGTTACCTGGTCCCTTCTGGTGAGCCTAGGTTTATCTCCCCTGGAAAACTCACAGATCATCTGTCCCGTGGGAAGTATTCCTAGCACTTTCTTTCCAAAGCCCAAACAGATGGGTGAGCCCTGGGGGGGGGATGTGTGGGGCAAGGGGTCACCGGGTGATGAACAGGAACTGCAAGACAAGCAAAACTGCAGGTTCTAGCTTGGCTGTCTCAAAAGGCACTCCAGTGTGTAAGCACCCCCTCTCTGCTGGCATCTGACAAATTTTCATGTTCTTATCTTGCTGGGACAACGTCTGCTTTCAAAATTGGAAGCTTATGGCTTCAGATCCCTCTGCCCGGGGTACCGGGTAAGAAAGTAAAACAAAGGGTCAGCAAGAGGCCAGTTGGTAGCCAGATAGCTGTGCAAGCTTCCAAATGATCTTGAAATCTTCGTCTGAGAGGCATTCGTTCCTGCTCTTTCGGAGACACACAACTGCTAGCAATAATAGCTTTTTATGGGCTGCCTAAGAGTTCTTCAAGTACATTTATGGGCTGAACAACGAACCCACAAGGTGGGTCACCATCTTATTCCCAGGTTACCTGTATGTTTTGTATGGGTTGGGGAGGGGGAGATTTAATAGGTTCCTAGCTCAATTCTCCTGGTTGTTGGGCCACATCGGCTTTTGACCACAGAAGGGGGTTCTTGTTGCTTCCCAGGCTACATGACTGGCATGCACACCCAACACAAAATGGGGGAAGCTTTGTTAGAGAGACGGCAGATGAACTGAGCCTCAATATGTACCTTAATATCTCAAGTACCTGATTTTCTCTCTTAATGTGTGTATAGCCTGGGAGCTCCACAGTGCTTAGAAAAGGGTCTGCAAGGATGTTGTATGACCTTGAAACTGGTCTCTCGTTGATGCTTGCATGGGGCTTGCCTTGTCAGAGATGCTCTTAATTGTTTGGAGTGCCCTGGACTTGAGATAATGAGATTAAAAAAATGTTGGATCATGATGGAGAAGTTGAAGATAAAGATTTTGGTTCATAGGGCCATCAGGCCACACACCTTGAGGCTTTGAGGGCATTTCTGTTCAGAGTGAGCTTTGTCACGTGATGCTGAGTTGATGGTCTTGGTCTTGCTTCGAGACTTGGTGTGTTTGCATTAAACCTTGAGTCTGAAGCCCTGCAGCAGGGTCAGTCTTTTGGGGGGGGGTGTAGCGGAGTCCTGGCATAACCGCTGACCCTTAACCACACACCTCCTTTTTTTCCAGGCAGGGAGGTACGCCTCCCAGTAGGTCCTGGCCCTTTTCTGTCCCTACTGAAAAAGGGGTTGACTAAAATCCTCCCTCCAGATTAGGCAAGCTTAACCAGCAGTCCTGCATGGACCCATGTGAACTGCATCAATGCGGAGGGAGAGGTGGGATTTGGACGAGGGCTGTTGAATAAAACAGAGGTCACTCAGGAATTCTTCTTAGGCATTTTGATCTCCCTGGCTTCTGGTTCTCCCACTTTCACTCAATGACGATTGCATTTTTCCCACGAGGATAATAAGGGCCAGCAAGTTGTTTTCATACCAAGTGGCTGAACACCATAATTTGACAAGTTCTGGCTAATCCTCTTATTCCATCTTTTATGTAATATAGTGGGATGGCTTTAGGAGCAAAGGATGCCTTCCGACTTCTCCCCTTCAAGCAATTGCTTGCTCTCCGTGTTCTTGTAATCTCCAAACATTCGTCCTCTGATTGCTTTCGGCGATTGTCCTTATAGCTTGTGCGACCACTGATTGTGAAAGGGCAGCCAGGTGATCCGTCCATGTGACTGGGGAAGATGCCCCTTGAAGCTCTGCGCTGACTAGATAAAGTAAGGTGTTGTTTGTTTGCTACTGAGTGAAACCCAGCTTATTTAATTAAGCAGTACGCTGCGTGAAGAGAAAGGGAATCTGCAGAGGAAAAAGGTCAACCCTTATTATTGCCCCACCTTGCTCCCTCCCTCCCTCCAGACAGATAAAACAGCAGGGGTGGCTGCTTGAACAGTGAAGCAGGAACATCCTCCTAATTTGGGTTCTCATTTTCTGCATGATTCCAACTTTATCAGCTGAATTGATTTGGATGATTAAAGCACTCTACTGCCCACCAGAGGGAGCTGGCACTATTTTCTTGTTTAGTGCAAATTACAGCATATCAGTACAAGCCAATCCCACACCCCCTAAGCAGAGTGAAACACACCCAGAAAGACTGATAGAATGAGCACAAACGCCTAAAATGTCTCCTTGATTTCACCCCCTATGAAGCGTATGATTTTCCCCCTTCTGCAACTATCTACGTTGGGTTTTCTTATCAGCCATTGGGGGTAGGAAGCAATCTTCTTAGGGTTGAGAGGAATGACAGCCTCTAACACTGGGCTCCAGAGTGATTTTCACAGCTCTCCAAAAGTAGAATTTGGAAATGAACCAGGTACTTAGGTTTCGCTAATGCAAACGTCTGTACGGTACTACAAAGAGACCCTGTGACTGGGTTCTCGTTTCACTTTGGGCGGGTTCCTCCTTTTACCCCTTTTGAAGACGAAGAGACTTTTTGATTAACTAGCAAAGCTATCAAAACCTGAAGTTCTTCCAACAACAACTTAAAAAGGGTTCTTCCTCGCCAGTCACCGTTGGGACTCTCTAACCAACCGCCCTTAGTCTTTTTATATGCAGTAATTTCTAACAGCGGTGTGCTCCACCCAATGTTCTCTGGTCAGTAGGTTTGGGAAGGGGTAAAGGTCTGGTCACACATAGGTTCTCCCAGCAGGTGTGTTTTGCCCACCTCCCTTTGGTCGCTCTCTCCGGAGGAGATGCCACCTCTCGGGGCTTCCTCTCTCCTCAAGAGGACCGCCTGTCTAGGGATACACCAGGACTGTCCATTCTGTCTCCTTCATCCACTAGAGTCACTCCCTTCTCTTCTGGTCGTTTTTTTAGCAAACTGAACTATAACCCTGCAACAATAAGGTTATAAATAAAACCAAGAGACTACAAAACCTAATACGAGAGTTTATTATCCATTATCCTTTCTTTTTCTCTCTCCTTCTCCTTTACCCTTGCTCCACCTTCCTCCATTTCCTCTCCTGCCATGGGATACCCGTCCATATTGGTGGACTTTTCCCCTCCCCACCTCCATTAGCCTCTCTTATTGGTCTCTTGATGCCCGGGTTTCCTTCCCGACTCGGCTTTGTGTTTTTATTTGGATTTCCCTCTCTCTTGAGTCCTCTGCAGTTTCCGAGGTGGCTGTTTCTGATACAACGGAATACATTTGCCCCATATCGCTCCATCTTAGAAGAGGGAGAGGATGGCACACGGACAGGGTCGCCCCCTTCCCCAGCCATCTCCCCACAGTCCTGAACGGAGGACTTCACTTGGAGACGGGCGGGCCGGCCGGAGTCCGTCTGCCTAAGGCGCTTCTCGGAATCCAGTCAGGGGCTTTGAATTCGTTCCGTTTGCCATGAAGCTATTTATCCCTGTCATTTTTCTTTTAGAAGGCTCAGCTGCCAATGGCAGAGGAGAAATTACGGGTTGTGTTATTAAAAGCCAAATGATGATAAATCAGGTGTCAGTCTTCCCTGTTCTAAATAAAGGCAGGTTTAACTGAGACTGATTTTTTTTAGTCTTTTTCATTTGTTCTGCAATATTCTTTTCATTTCTCTCTCTCTCTCTCTCTCTCTCTCTCTGATGCTGAAGGGCGTGTATCACAGTGTTCTGCTGGTGCCGCTATATCTTAATAATTCTGAAATGTGTTGTTTATTTAAAATGTTTTGACTGTCTAAAAAGATTATTTCTAAAAACGGGAAGCAAACATCTATTTTGTGGGTTTTTTTCTTTCTCCTCCTGACCCCCCCCACCCCCCACCCTGGGGTCCCTCAGCCCCACAAAGATTCCCTGTCCCTCTTATAAACCATGACAGGGAGCTCTCTTTTCAGCCTGAGAAGAAGTCAGCTCCATTTCCGAGAGGCTCTTAGGGACAGTGTTCCAAGGTTGGGCAGGGCCAAGATTTTTTTATTTTAAGCTAAATTTAATCATTTAGGGTTAGGGCCTCTTTTTTTGCCTGTCAGTAATGCTTAGGAGATGCGTTTCTGTCTTTTAGAACGGGAAGATGTTCTATACAGTATAAGATGTAGAGCCGCCAGGCAGTGGTGTTATGGGGAAGGGGGTGATGGCGTCTGGGACAGTCTGGGTTTATTATTGGGGGAGGAGTCTGCCTCAAGACCAGGGCCCCAACCTCTGCCATAAATAGTAGGGCCCTTGCCAGCATTCTCTGGCCAGTTGTATTCACTCCCACATCTTCGATGCTCTGAGTGACTGCCAGGGCCCGAATGTGCCAGCTTTTTGAAAGGATATGCCAAGCCCCCATGTGGTTCAAATTCAAATCAAATTTCAAATACTGTAAATTTATCGTCATTGTAAGTCTATACGTAGTATACACATACAATGGAATTCACACATACACCCAGAGACCAGATCCACATGCACACACACAGAAAATCCCCAAACACTCCCCACCTACTGGTTAACCCACTCGTTAATTCAGTGTGCAATATTTTGGGTTCTGCAGAATGTGGGGTGGCCCAGGTAGCAGGAGAGGCGGAAAGGAGACTGGGTGGATGGTGCCAACGTGTCCTGTATGCTGTGAGGTGTCTTCTCCCCTCAACACACCGGCGACTCCACAGTGAGATCTGCGCGGGCGATGCTTTGGTTTTTCCAATCTCTACTGTCAAGGATTTCCTCTAATAGAGTTGAGGGACTTACCCCCTGTCAATGTTGCTAAGTGGCAGCACCATGCCATCCCTCTCCAAAATGGCTATTAAATTAGTTTCCCTCCCAGTTGCTGTTAGCTGCCTACAAAGCTAGTTTTTCCTAGAAATTATTGTTTGCTTTCCTTGTTCCCTGTCCTTTTTTTTTTAGCCATGACCCTAAACTCAATAGGAAGGAATCAGAATTGTATGTGTGAAGATGATGTATGAAGAGCTGCTTTCAGTCTGGGGCCCCCATCCAATGGGCCAGGGCTCCCCAGGGGCCCCCTATGGCCCCCTGTTGAGGATGGCTGGCTTAGCTTGAGAAATGTGGGCGCGCTGCCCTAGATTCCAGAGCGGTTCCTCTTTTTTTCAGTCTACTTTCTGTGTAACACAGTTGGCCATGAGTCCTTGCTTTGAACCTGGGTTCTGGGATGGACGTTCCTTTTTGAAGGCCCGATGGGTAGCTGTTGCCCTGGAGAGCTGAGAGATGGCACTTCATTTCCAAGAGGGGCAAAGGTTCCAATCCCATGCCTTCTGTGTGGCGGCCGGCAGGTCGCACTTCTTGAATCGTTTCCTCCATTGGGTGTTCTCTCCTGCGTTGGTCATAGGTGGCCTGGCAGAGCCATCTGTCAGACCCTCTCAGGCCACCCTGATTGCCACGTTTTTATGCATGAAGTCATGTGGCTGCACATATCCGGGATGTGTCTTTTTTTTGGGGGGGGAAGCGATTAGGCTTAATATATTGGCCCCATCCTCCTTGCTCAGGATTATCTGTTTTAGGGCATGCTGCTTTAAGGGTTGTTTATATAAACAATCCTTTGATCCTGTAGCCAGATGTAAGTAGTATCTAATCATTTGGACTAGGATTACGGACTTTGGGCATCTTGCTCTATTTTATGTTCTTAAATAGATTTTTTTTTAAAAAAAGGTTTATTTGAATACTTTGGAACTGTTTGTGCATGTGCCATTTGTGGAGAAGGGGGAGGTAAAGAGGAGCGGGGCGAATGGGGAGGGAGGTATTGGGAGCCCCTGTTCTGCAGCCTTCCAAATTGCAGAAATAGAAATTAAAGGTCTGTTCAAGAGTTGCAGGTAGGAAGAGCCATCATGGGCAGCTGTGCTGGCCCCATCTGGCACAGATCAGGGTGGCGGTTCTTGCCGATTTCCATTCCTCCAGACATCTGTTTCAAGAACTGAAGTTTTTAGTACAGGAAGAAGCCTTTCTCCTCCTCACCAGCTCGGGCGGGAAATCAGCCTTGGGAGAGGGAGGTTTCTGCCTATCTCGGAGGTGGAACCGAGAAGCAGCTTTGGGTCTGTTTTTTATTTTGCCCTTGTCTGTACAGCAAACGCTGCCTTCCAAATGATATGTGTGTGTGTTTTATTATGCTTTCTCATTTCTGCTTGTAGATAAGCTCTTTTGGCTTATATATGTTTTGTTCCCAGATGTTGATATGCAAAGTGGGGGGCTTCTCAGCAATGGGAATAGCTAGATTAAATCTTTGCCCGGACTATTTTTAAATGTGTGTTTATGTGCATGTCTCTGTTCATTCACATGCAGAAGAGTCTAATCTGCAGCTTGAACTATTTTACAGTCGTTAAATAGCAGGGTTGCATTTTTATGTGGTGCCGACTGTGACTTCCTTGTGCCACCTTGTAAACCTGATGGCCTGAGGTGGCAGCTTGCTAATGAGGGGTTTGCTGAGAAGTACTTGCACATGGCCAGGGGATGAGTGTGTTTGAAAAATCCCCGAAAGATACTGCGGCCTGAAAACACGACCCCGAACTGGTAGCATTTTCACTGCCCTTGGAATTTGCCTGCTGCGTGATGGAGCAGTCTTGGATATTGTCTAAACAAGGTCACCTCCCAGGAGGCCTTATCTTCCTTGGGCATCTTTAGTGTGTTTCGTATCCTGCCCAGTGCCACGTTCCGACTGGACCCTTAACTCAAAGCCTGGGAAGCCAGGCTTTACTAGGACATGAGGGTGGTTGCCTCCAGGCTAGAGTAGCACCAACTCCCCGATGGCGCTTGCAGCCCACACGTTGCAGGAGATCGCCTGCTGTGGCATTCCTGAGGCTTGACTCGTGGCTCAGGCTGAGTGCCAAGGGCTGGGGAAGGGGAGGGAAGGGGCTTTCAGGGGGAAATCCCAAATTGACCGTCCATACTGGTTTCTGGTTTAAGCTTGGTATAAGTTAGGATGTTGGGTTCCCTTGGGTCTCACGCTGTCCAGCAGATCGAAGAGAGGCTGCCTTTTCCTGGACGGGCCCTCCTGCCTCCTCTGCTCAGGCCCTCTCTCTGTGTTTCTCGGTTAGCAAACGGGAGTTGAGCAGGCAGGAGAAGGTTAAGCAGTCCCTGGCCCCCAACTGATAATGGTGGCGAGGGCAGAATATGGGGTTCACATAGCAACGAACAAAAGCTCCACAGCCATGCCGGATCCCCCAGGTGCTCTTTGTTGGAAGACGGGGGCCAAAAGGAAACAGTATTTGGCTTTACAGTGAGTTGAAGGCTGCGTGGTTGGCTCTGCTCTTTTTTTTTGTTGTTTTCGTGGTGAATCTTAGGGAAGTAGAGAAGATCCTGCAGTACTGTTTTGGCAGACAGCTCAAGCAGAAAAAGATTAACGAATGAAATCTTCAGAGAATGGAGATGGATTAGGGTTTCACTCTTGGCTTTTTTGTTGACTGTTTAGCAACCTTTCCCCCTCAGTCCATCCCAAGTCCACTTTGCCTCTAAGCAATTGGAAGTGGGGAAACTTTGCCTTGAGGCTACTGGAAACAGGGGTTCATTGGCAAACTCACTTAACATTTATGGTCTCTCAGAACAGTTTAAGAAAGGAGGATTCATTTGAAAATCTGTGGCTCCCCAAACAGAGTCTCACCCGCTGACTGATGCAATTGTGTCTGTCTTCTAGGTAAGTCAGTGACAGGACCTGCAGCTGTGCTTGAGAACGGTGATCATGGAGTGGAAGGCAGCAAGCAGGGTAAGCTTTAATGTTCGTCCCTCCTTTCTGCTTTTTTTCTGCCATGAGAGCGGCTTCCCCATGGTGTGATCCCATGCCATCTGCTGTGTGTGTATCTGTGTGTATGTGAAGACATCTAAGGAGAAACATGGAATCGTGTGACTTTCTTACCCTCTGGTCATTGTCTGGACCACACATGTAGGAACGTGATTTTTAGTAGGTTATGATAGTTCAGGAGTTCCTTTTTTTGGAACTACCTTCTCCCTGGCTCCGATTAATCATCTGGTAGCTTGGTTGTCATCTTCTCCAAAACGTGGTGTTGGTTTCATCTCTTGATCAGCCCCTAGCATGTTTGAAAAGATTTCTGACCAAGGTTGCTCCATAGCTTGGAAGGCTTCTTTCCTCCCTCCTCCTCTAAAGGCAGACTGTTTCCGCCCCCCCTTCCTTCAGAACAGCTGTTAATAAAATGTCTTAAAAAATGAGAATATGTGTGTAGCTGTCCTACTAGTGACCCTCAAGGCTGAGATGTCTCAGAGATATGAAGCTGCCTTCTTGTGGTCCCTTCTGGAAAAGGTGTTTGAATGTGCCTGAGGCTTATATTGGGTCCCCAGTCTCTCTCTTGACTGCAAGAGGCTTTCAAGTTTTGAAGAGTCTCTTGCAGTCAAGGCAGCTCCTCTGGAGGGACAGAAGCAGGGCGAGAGCATCTTGGTAGAGCTCAGCGTTGCAGGGAGAAGGTCCCAGGTCCAGGCCCCGGCCTCCTCTCTGGGCACGGCTGAGAAAAGAAGCCCCGGAGAGCTGCGGACCAAGTGGGTTGCCCCGCCCCGGCTGGACCAGTCCTTTCTGCCTCCGTGGAAGGCGGCTGCCCCTGTTCCATTGACCACGCAGGTCCCCCTCTCCAGGACCTTAGAGCATGGGCCAGGTTTAACTCTGCTCTCTTGTTCAGCTTAGTATCTCTCCTAGAACCACTGTGTTAAAAGTACGAAGCCTGCATGCACACTAAGGCTCTCCTGACAGTTTTACCTCTATCAGTAGATTTTTTTTCATTGTAAGCATATTGGCTGTGAGTGATGTGAGTTACAGACCAACATATATCTGGAGGTCCCCCAGAATGGGGAAGACTGCAGAAAGTGGTTTTAGCAGCATATCACGGGAAACACAGTCCACCCTTGTGCCTCCCCATATCCAGCATACATATTGTTTGTGTGTTTGTTTGTGTTTGTTTGTTTATTTACTTCCCACCATTTGGTGCTCAGAGTTGCAACTTCCATCCAGAATACATGGCATACGTATTGACCTCTCAGTTCTGTATTTGTAAATTAGGGTAAGAAGTTAAGCTAGTCATCTGCTAGTCCAGCCCTTCTGCCTTTGTTCCACTTTTCTAATATTTTATATAATCACCCATTTTACAGAAGCTGTCTGCATTCATTGTGGTAATAGTGGTTATTGGCTTGATCTGAAAGATGGGCAGGAGTCCAGATACCTGACTGGATCAATAACGAGATGCAAATCTAACTCAAGGAGAACATAAGCTCCACAGGTGATATGAGGCTGACATTGTCCATTAACCATTCTCTATACATCCTTTTTCTTTTAAGCCAAGAGAAATAAGATTAGATACTGAGATTCCACACACATACACACCCCCATGGCCATTCTCTATACATCCTTTTTCTTTTAAGCCAAGAGAAATAAGATTAGATACTGAGATTCTACACACACACACACACACACCCATGACCCTGAATTCTACACTTTGATTGAGGGTGTTTATGTAGGGTAGAGTAGTAAGACTTTCAGATCATAAAGAACAACTCTTGAGATGGGAATAAGGTTGACCCAATATGAGGATGAAAGTCTCCTTTTTGCATACGACTGTGTTTCCCCGAAAATAAGACAGGGTCTTATATTAAGTTTTGCTCCAAAAAAAATGTACTAGGGCTTAATTTCAGGGGATGTTTGATTTTTTTTTTCATTTACAACAATCTACATTTATTCAAATACAGTTATGTCATCTGGGGCTTATTTTTGGGGTAGGGCTTATATTAGAAGCATCCTGAAAAATCCTAGTAGGGCTTATTTTCAGGGAAACAGGGTAGGTCACTTAGCATTCATCTCTACTCTGCTCAGCTATCCCTCAATTTTGTGTGCTGTGTTTCTTTTCAGCAGACGGCCACTCTGCTTCCCTTGCATGTCCCCCCTCCCCGTTCCATCTGCTGCCTCACATGCTTGTCCTCTCCCTCCTGAAAATTTTCAGTGGGGTGGCAAAAGAGGGCTGGGAATCATTATTCTCTCTCTCTCTCTCTCTCTGTATGGGGAGGGCTATATGGCCTGAAAATTTTCAGTGGGGTGGCAAAAGAGGGCTGGGAATCATTATTCTCTCTCTTTCTCTCTGTATGGGGAGGGCTCTATGGGGGTTGCCAACATCTTGGTCCCAGCTGTTTTTCTTTCTTAGGAATCCAAGACTCCCATCAAATCCAGCAGTGAAAAATTGTCTTGATTTTGAGCTCTTTTCAAAGGTTCCACATTGGTGTCAGAAAGTGAAATGGTGTGACTTTGCAGAAAGCATCCATGCCATCAAAGGTTTTCAGGAAGAGAGGTGTAGAGTCCAATTGTATGCATTAGCTGTGCAAAGTTCATCTCAATTCTTACAGGTTTTGTAGCCAGCAGTGGCTAGCTAGTGGGTAGAGGCAGGTCATACATCTCATCTAGTGTTCTTAGGGACATCCAAAGGCCTACTGTGGTGCCCAGCTGACCAAAGCAGCCTCCTACACCTCCTTGTCAGCCTCAAGGATCCTAGCCACGTTGCTGAGGATTTGGGTGTGCGTTTCCCTCGTCCCTGTGTCCTATGACACGAGCTCTCAAATCCTCTGTCCCACAAGATCCTAAGTAAGCTTGGCACTTGCCTGCTGTTTCCCCTGCCGGCACAACCCGGCTCCTGGAAGACACCTCACAGGGCTTCATCTGTCCAGTTGCATGCTCTCGTGTTCCTTTGTTAGTGACTGATCCTGTGTATTTCACTGCACAAGATGCCAACCTGTGACTTGCACCATGGAGGACCCCTTGCAAACCTGGATTGTGTGTCTCTGTGTGTGTGTGGTTTGTTTGTTTTTTTATTTGCACGGCAGACCTCCTGTGTGTCTGTGTGTGTGTGTGTGTGTTTTATTTGCACGGCAGACCTCAATTGTGCAAGGAGAAACCGAGCCAAGGCAGGGTTACCAGGGAGGAAGGCTCTGGAGTTCCCGGTGTTTCCAGGAAAATGATGGACTGAGAGGGGAACAGATGAGAGTGGAGGAATTGGGGCGAGGCCTAAAAAGAAGTCTGCCTGGTGCAGATTTAATGTAAAGGCTCATTTTAAAAAGAAATCCACACCCCACTGCGTGATGAAATACATTTTCTGAAAAATACCTTAGAAGCAGAAAGATGCCTGCTGCTTACTTTAATCTCAGGACTGCAGGGTTGCCAAACTGGACCTCCCGAGGTGGATGTTTTTCCTCGCAGGTTCCCCATGTCTTGGCATGAGTTCTGCGTATAGACCTCTGCAAATCTGAGGTGTGCACAAATATTTGTGCAGGAAAAGGACCCCCATGGATGGAAGTAGCTAAAGGCGGGCAAGGGGAAGTCTTGAAGGAAAGATCCTGTTTGTGCCATCTTCCAGGTTTGCTGGAATAAAATAGTTCTGTGTT